CTGAGCCCACACTTGTTTCTCTTTCTACTGCAGCAGCTGCCTCAGTCCCAAAGCCTGGGACGGGGCCAGGGGGACTGCTGTGGGACCTTGAAGGGGAGGAGGATTTTGTGCCACAGATTGGAGCAGGCAGCGATGCCATGCAGCGACCTGCAGGAGCCAGGTCTGGAGGTCGGGTAGAGCCTAGCACATGTGGGGACAGAGGAGATGGGGGCCATGACGGCAGAGGTGAGGCAGGTGGGCAGCACAGCTGGTCAGGATAGCCCCCTCCCTTGCCCCAGCAGGAAGGCAGGGGGGGCCCAGGTGGGGCAGAGCAGCCCCAGCCAGCTGGTCAGACCAGCTCCTGTGGGTGCCTGGCATGAGAATGGAATGGATTGGGAGGGACGCTGGGGCAAGGGGTCAGTGGGGTAGAAATGCCCAGTGGCCTTGCACCTGGGGACCTTGGCTTTGGGGCTGCCAAGAGTACCTCCTGCTTGGTCCTGGAGTGGAACTCAGCCCAAATGGCACCGGGGAGGCAACTGAGGTCCAGCAGTGTAGGACTCTACCCAGGGCACCTGGCGAAGTGGGAGTGGGAGAAACCCAGGCTTCCTGGCTTCTAAGTGGCTCTTCTCAAGGCCAGGGGTTTGGGATGAGCCCTTGGGTAAATGGGAGAAGGTAGCTGGGCTGGTGGAAGGCAGCAGGGGATGTGGAAAGTCTGAAAGGCCTAATGTCCCCCCATCCCACCTCCCACCACCTCAGTTTCTCTTTCTGGATGAAAGATCATCCCATCTGCCTTGCAGGGCTGTTGCAGGAGTGAATCGAAGTCATTGTGCTGTATGAGTCATGACTTGGTGTATTTACTCTTAGATGAGGGGACAAGCAGTGTGGTTAATGGGCCACCCCAGTAACCAGGGAGGCCCAGCCCTGTCTGCCCCCCGTTCCTAGCCCTGCCCCCTTCCTTGGGATCAGCCAGGTTCCCCTCCACTGGTCCTGGCCTTGCTCCGACAATGGTCAAGGTGCTGGGGAAGGTGCTGCTGGGCCCGAGGGGGTCCTGCCTCTCTGAATGTTGCTTGCGAGGCAGTAGGGGTCACGAGGCAGGGGGACCTGAAGCCAGGTGATCTGAGTTCCAAGCCCAAGCTGTTGACCACAGGGACATTTTTAAGTCTTGCTGAGCCAGTTTCGTGAGATGAGGGAAACAACACCCATCCTGGAAGGGAGTACGGAAGGGATGGGATGGGCACTCAGGAAGGGCATAGAAGCGGAAGCTCTTGTGGTGATGATGTCACCCCATTTGGGAGCCGGCAGGGTGCAGTGGGAGCCAGGAAGCCTGGGTTCCTAGTCTGGGCTGCCGGGTGACCTCAGGCAGCCCTGTGCCTCATTGGGCCCCTTGTCCCTGCTGATGTGGGAAACACATCCTGATGTTTGAGGGGGCACTATGGTTTCTGTAGCCTGAGTGCCAAGGCTGGGATGGGAGTCAGGCTCTGCCCACCCATGGTCCCAGCAGGAGCGGCCATTTATCTGCTCATAGTGTTCCTCTGGGACCCCAAAGCTAGAAGAGTCGAGAGACGAACCAGGCATGGTGGAAGATGGGGCTGGGGCTGGATGCCTGCCTCGGCCAGGCCTCTGATGCTCTTTGACTATTCTGGACCTCTGTTCTGGCTCTGTTCAGTGGGGCAGCAGCTCGGGGTCTGCCTCCTCCCCCAGGGTCTCGTGGGGTCCAGGGTGGTACTTATCCCCCGCAGTGCTTTTCCTTGCCAGAGGGTGGGCTGACGGGGAAGGATTTGCCAGAAAGAAGTGAAGGCACCCTCTGTCTGGGATGCTTGGCACCCCCAGCTTCTTTCCTGCCTCAGGCGATTCTGGGAGGGGCTGGGGGTACTGAGAGGAGCTGTGGGTGCAGAGCAACCAGTGTCCAGGGAGGGAACTGAGTTGTTGGTGCCCACTTGGGCCAGAAGGAGGCCAGAGGTCTGGCAGTTATACGGGTGGAAACAGATCAGCCTGGCTGGATGCTTGGGCTGGGGAGCCAGGAGCCAGGCCTGTTCACCATGTCTACTGACCCCTTCATTCCCTCGCCTTGCCAACCTGCAGGCGTGAGCCGAGGTGATGCTGAAGATGATGACCTTCTTCCAAGGTCTTCCAGGCCAGCAGCCTATGCCAGGGGCTCTTGACTTCCCCGGGGGCCCCCAGAAGTTGCCCTCCACATCAGAGGCAGAGTCAGAAGCCTCTATGTCAGAGGCCTCCTCCGAGGACCTGGTGCCACCCCTGGAGGCTGAGGTAGCCCCGGATCGGGACGAGGACGAGGCTGTGAAGAAGAAGGAGAAGAAGAAGTCAAAAGGCCTGGCCAACGTGTTTAGTGTCTTCACCAAAGGGAGGAAGAAGAAGGGTCAGCCCAGCTCTGCAGACACAGAGGGCGAGTCCGAGCCCCAGGCGCGGCTGGCTGGCCGGCTGCCCACAGGTAGGCCGGGGCCCCAGGTCAGAGTTGCTAGGGGCTGGGCAGGACAGAGGTCCATCGGAGTGGATGCCCCACTCACCCAGCACGCACAGAGGGCAGGAAAGGTGGGCGTGCACCTGCACCCCCTGATCTTGGGGGCTGGGAGTGGGCCCCGGGAGGTCAGTCCTGCCTGGGACACCCCTCTTCTCCTTGGGCGCCTCACTTCTACCTTTTGGGGGTCTCCGCCTCCTCTCCTGTGGGCCCGCGGGAGGTGACC